CTCTCACTGTCGTTCTTCATAAAAGAACAATCGCTGATACTGTATATTATTAAAGAGAGATGGATGGATAATAACTCTGCATAATAAACTCTGCATGAATATGTGCGAGAAATTATAGAGGGAATATTTTAATTCATATTATTCGTTCAACTTTATTCCTCTTTTTACCAATACTATTTTTACTTATTTAAAGATAAAGGACAATTTATAGAATCTCCGTTAAATAAAGACACATTTTCAAGCCACATGGCGCTGGAGCGTGTTTTGATTTATTGCTTATCACGCAATTATACACATTTAAAGATTGATCTTTGCAATCCTTTGTGTCGTGATAAAACGGCCGTTTAATCGAGCGGACAAATGAAGTCACTATAAGCACTTCGTGCCGCAAGCATCGTATTGAAACAACATTAATCCTTATGTGAACGATACTTAATAGCACGAATGAGAGCCCGGCGCGTACATACGTATGCACGTACATGCATACATGCACGAGCTCCATCGGACCGTTGGATGGTAACCTAGTTTTGCGTGCGCTGAAACATTCAGCGACCCAGTTACCCCGCGGCGGGGATATCGCGCCGCGAATACGGATCAACAAGCTTCCCGACCTATATAACGTCCCGGATCCACGAGCTGCATTTCCGCGTGACGCGCGCTCGGCAGGTCGATCGTTCGCGCGTCACATCGAAAGTCGACAGCGCGCCGTCGCCGTCGTCGTCCCGGCGGAGCACGCACAGGAAACTTCGCCGTTGATTTTCCACACGAGAAATGACTGCGCGGTCGCTTCTCGAATTACTAGTTTTATCCAACTGCGTGAAATACAACTGGTTAAATACGAGAAAAGTTCCGCGCGTCTCTTTACGCCCACGAGCGTAACTTGGATGCGAGATTCGTGCTCGAACAGCCATTAAAAAGCTTTTTGCGTTATGTTACCGGTTATAGTTAGAAATAAATCGCACTCTGCGGCTAACGCAGCTTGCGCTCGTCCAGCGAAACAATCGCTCGAAGGAAAAAAAAAATATATTGCCATCGGCGGATGTGCTCTTAACGATCCATACGACCGACCAACCGACCGGCCGGTCGCTCTATCGCGCCGCACACACACACGCGCTCGTCCTCCAACTGATCGCGTTGCGTAACGTTATGTCACGATGATAATGGTACCGTGTAACGTCAGCTTTGCAGGCGTGTGTACCACTTTACGATTTCCACCAACGAGCTCGATTGACTTGTCAGAAGGTGCGATACGTATCGGCGGCGGCGGCGGCGGTGCACGCGTGGCTGCATAGCGGATACGCTATACCATGAAGTCGTTCCCGCTAATGGCTTTATAGTTACCTCGGTTTCCAATCTCTACCTGTGCGTCAATATTTACGTGTCTGTCAGTGTTACGGTGATGCACATCACAGACGGCGATATCATTCAACAAAGGGATAGCTAGGGATAGATAGCGTGCTTTTGGATTTTCTAACAATAAGATTATCCAGCACGCCCAAGCTTTCTAGTAACCCAATCTCGGCACACGATAGAAAATTAGAAAAATAAATTTAAAAACCGTAATCATATACATTCGGAAACTATTTAATGGAGAAGGAAAGTAAATGAATCATAAATTAAATAAATTAGGAATTAACTTTTGACGAGGGAAATTATGTAACATATCCCATGAATTTGTGAATATCGGCTATTTCCGAACAAAAGGTTTCGATTGTCTAAATTGAAGAAAATATTATTTTTTTTATTATCGATTATCGGTGCAACGCAGAATCTATTCGCGTCTCAACGGTTCTCGTCGATTGCCGCGTTTATTATCGTACACCCAGTATACAACGGAACGCAAAGAACAGTTGCTCGCCAGTTGCCTAGTTGTGGGCACTCGTCAAGCGGTATTGTGTTTACTGCTCGACAATACAACCGGAGGAAAGGAAAGGAAAGGAAAGATTTCGGCCGAAACCGCCATTCTCACGGCCCAATTTTTTTCTGCCGCTTTCGTCGCCCGTAATTTGCACGCGATGCTCGAGGAGAGACATCGGAAGATTGCTGTCCACCTTGAGCACTTCGGCCGATTCGTTAATCCGATCCGTAAATGTACAAAACGGGCTTAATGACGAGTGAGAGGAGCCATAACGAGGCGCACACGCACACACGCGCAATTTACTTTCCTTCTCATTATTGTAAAATTCCACGAAATGCGGTCGCGGTCGAAAAGCTTCCGGTATACCGCGGCTATAAATCAGGACATATCTTGATCGAATTTGCATCAATTCTTTTCGGATAGTATTTAATTACTTGCATTTTGCATTAATGTAGATACGACATGCGAATGATATTAAGACATGATGTAATTAACGTTTTTTTGCTGCGTATTAGAATTGTTATTGCTTAATAATTGATATAACGTGGTAATGTGAACAATCAGTATTATGTAATACGGTGACGGTGTATATTCATGAAGAATCAGTGGGCGTGCATGCTGTTTTACATGCTAATTTTCAATGTCAGTTTGCATATCCAATGCTATATATCCATCGTATGTCTTTTTTTTATGATTTCGAGAAGGTTAGTCCTGCGATTTTATTGGAGTTTATTTAATCTCCTTTTCGTTTCTTTAATTCGCCTTTCAATTTTCAGATACGATAAATATTGCTCTCGGTATTTTCAGACTTCTGAAATGTGAAAAAAATGCATCAGTTATGATCAAAGCTGCATTGAAATACAGACATTTATTCGAACTCGAACGTATTGAATGCGTGTAGGATGCAAACAGAGAAGAGTAGGATTAAAGAGATAGATAAATCCGATCGGTAAGCAGCAATGGATGGGGAATGCTTGAATGAACGATAAACGACGCTTTATTTCTTGCTTCCAACGGATACTTGGAGACGAGGAGACGAATTACACGCCGCGCAAGAAGCATGTCCGGGTTTTTTTCCTTTTTTTTTCTTAATTATTGCCGTGCCGATTATCTCCGAGCTCAATCCCTCAATCCGTACCGGTATAATTCACGTACCGCGTAACGGTACAGCTTCGCCTCAAAAGTAAACGGTTTCGAGTCGTTTCCCTTCGCATCGAGCGGCCAATCTACGCAGTTGTTCTAATTAATGTCTTGAAATTGCTGCTTCCGCGGTAATCATAAGTCGATCGTAATCTCGCAATTAGCAACCAACGGGCGTACATATATCAAGTTTGCGGCGAGTTTAGAAAACCGTGAAAAGTAAAAAAAAAAATAAAAATACTGCTAGGACAGAATGTAAGAATCTTCTGGAGTTTCCAAAATTCAGAAAAATCCTGAATTTCTCTTTTTTATATGAATTGTATACGGGATGCCTCTGATTGATCGAACTTTCTTTTAAATACCGATTTCTTCGATTAGTTTCAAGTTGATTTTTTCTTAGCAATAACGTCAAAGAAGCTGTTAATTTTAAATATTATACGCGTGTATAACTAATTCTTATGTATTATAATTTTATAAAAAATAAGATTAAATTAAAATAAAATTGTAGTTATTTGCCTTCTTAAAGCACAGCTTCTGAAAAGTTTCTCATCTTCAGAATCGCCTTGTACTTATAAAATAATTGATCTGTTGATGTTTTTGTTAAGGAAAAACCGATTTCCAATTGCTGTTAGGAAAAATTGGCTTGATAGATCCGAGACACTCTATATATCGGCTCGAGTTGAGTTGAAGGAGTAACCTTCGCCTGCCTTCTCGTTCTAAGTGGCACGACACATGTAACGGTTGATACACGAGAAACGGGACAGCCGCGAAGTGTGTGCTTGGGTGTTGCTTTCGAAATGCCGGCTGATACGTGCGTCATTATGCCGGCCGACGCTCTGTGTTTCACTTTCGACTCTCGGTGCACCGCTCCGGAGCGTGGAACGGCTGGCTTAGCGGCGGCCTTGACTACGTCGTTTCACGCCCCCTCTTTTGTACTTTTTGTCCTTCGTATGATATATATTCGAGAGGGCCTACAACCTTCTCCTGGAGAGTTACTCCTAGTTACGCTCGATATTATCTCGAAAGCTGCACCACAGCGGCAACGTAAGACACACTTCTCCGTCTTTATGCGCTGCCTTTGTTTGAGAAAGGAACGATATTCTTGTCAGAATTAGCGAACATTCTGTTATATAAAACTTTCGATTATGTCAACAGCTTGGGTTAAATTTTCATAGAATTTGATAAAAATATTAAGATATTTCTTTCATTTGTTCTACGCTTTTACGCGTATGATTTTCTACGATGCAAATATTATTGAAGTGAGGAAACGGCTTGCACTTCTTTTCCGGTGAATTTATCTATTTTTGAAACATACTGTAATGCATTGTACGTCTGGCTTACTTTGTGTTTCCCGTGGATTTACGTTGACTATACATTTAGCTTGGTCACTTTATCTGGTCGGAGAGAGCACCTCATGATTGTAGAAGAAACGACAATGTCGTATAAGCACCTACAGACGTACGTACTCTACGTGCAGTATTAACGTGGAAATCTATAGACTTTCCTGGAAAAGCTACGATCAGCTATAGGTTTCCCGCGCCATCGAGTATTACTGTGAGACCAGCGCGGTCTCCGAGTGAAATGACACGACGTATCATTTCATGTGACTTCAAGAAAACTTTATTCGAGAAATGCGCATAACTTTGACATCGATTTTTTATGTTGTTCCGAATTCGACGAAGATTGATTGGTGGTAAAAGCATCGCTTCTCTTCGTAGAACAAGAGTTCCTAAAAATTATTCACGTTCATGTTGAAAGGTCAATTATCGAGAACCACCGGCTGTTTCTCAGAACATGCATTTCGCGAAAGAATTGGAAATATTCTTCTGAATTAATCGAGGTGAAATTGAAAATTGTAGCTGCTGCTGAGAAAGAGTTGCGCGAGTAAAAGCAATATTTGCATTACAATAAATTGCATTTGAACTAGAATAATGCTAAGTTTAATTTGATGTACATGTACATGATGTAGCGGTACTATAGTATGTCGTAATGTATATTTCAGATCCAGGAAACGACGGCCAAGCTCGAACAATGATTCCGAACGGATGTACAGCGGTTGGGGCGAGAGGGTACTCTGCGGACGTGAGGGTTGTCGCACCAACGAACGCGGTGATTGCATGGACGAATGCGCTGCCGCCCTGGTCCTTATGTCGCTCTCGTGCTCACCTCACAGTCCTCACAACCCCCCGCCACTTCACTGCCAATACAATTATGCTGGTATTATGCTCTGATATTTATACAAGTCGGAAGCCGGAAAAAATTACAATTTTTGCAGCTTTCTATCATTATCTATCAATCATCAAAGCATAATTTTTTTTATTAAAATATTTTATTATATTTTTACAATTTACTCGTAAAAACGATGCTGCGTAAATCGTCGAAGAATGAACTAAACTCACGCAGTGGTTTAAGCGGGCGGAAATAAATTGGAAAACATTCAATCTGCGACAGGTTCCTGGGGGAGTCGTGGAGGCGTAAGCGGCGGCATGGTCGCCGGTTCACCAGGAATCGGCGGCATGTCGAACAGCAGCAGCAGCAGCGGGGGTGCTTCCTGGGGGCGAAGCGCTACTCCCAGTCCTCCTCTTAGCGAAGAGGGTGTACCGACAGGGAGTCCCCCGTGTCCAGCGACGTCGCACCCCTCGCACAATCAACCGCACTACCCCTATAACGCGTCCGGCTCGTCGTCGAGCAGCACTCCGGGCTCGACCACGTTAGACGAGGGAATAGTACCCGACTACATTGAGGAGCAGCACCCACGTAAAAAGGTGAGTAACCTTTTCCGGTGTTCGTTCACCTCCTGCGAGTAAGGCGAGCGCGACGACGTCGAGCCGCGCGCTTTGGTCAATATTTCGCGTGTCGTACGACACGAGTTTATTGAACGTGCTAACAGACTGAGAATAATTTCTGGAATTCTCGGAAATTCATTGGAGGACCCCCTACAAGTGTTCCGTATACGACAGTCGATTTTAACACGTTGAATTTTTCGTATTTACTCGGCGACATCGTGAAGCATCCAGCGACTTCCGCCGCCACCTCTTTATCAACCGTGACCTTTGAAACTAGTTTCCAGAGTCGCGTGTTCGCGCTACTTCTAGCAGCTCTCGTCCTCGCCCGCCGTCTTTAAAAGTCTTCATTGACCTTAATCTCCGTGAATAATATACACTCTCGCGTATCAGCGCACGCCCAATTCAGCTTGCCAAGCCTCGGCGACGAAGACAAATGATTTTTATAAAAGTCGGCTTAACTAACATCAGCGACGCCGCGATCGTCGCTATATCTCGAGCGTGCATCATAGAGTTGTCGCTGCGCATTCCAAAAGCTATCGGCACTGTATCTATTCAAGTGTCGTAATTTTATGAATTTAACATTGAATGCTGATCTGCTCATCGGCTTTCTATATATGCAAACGACAAAGCAGTGAATCTTGACGTGCATTGATAAAAGCGTTTTTGTGCCTTCTCATTAGCGACATAAAGTATGACGTACCCTTGAAGCCTATGTATATTGAAATAACACGTCCTTCGCGATGAGAATACAAGTTCGCCGTGATAAAAATCGAATGGCCTTCGAGATGCCGCGTGTTTGTGTCTCCGTGATTAATTCTTTCCGCGTCCGCGTAGTAGTGTGTAGTAGCTTAATTAACGTCAACGAATACGATAAGTCTATTGCGTAAGATATCGGTGTGGCACACTAGGGTGAACCTTGCACGTTACACACGTGTGCATCGCTCGATCTGGATTAGATTGAATTCGCTTCCTGAGGATCGTTCGTATCTCTTATATACAGAACTGAGAAAACTCATGACTGCAATTTCAGTTTGAATTTACATTTTTATCTATAAACGCTAAAAAAAAATATATTTTGCGGCAATTGCATATAAATAAAAATTCCATTTTTGCGCGTGTATTCAATTGCATCAAAATTTAAGGTTCTCGAAAATTGCATAAATGTGTCGTTACATAATTTTCAAAAGCAGACTAGCGTAAAAAAAAAAGAAACGCTTTATATAAAAATCGCAAGCTTTTCGAGCGGTCAAAGCGATCGGATATATTGCACATTCTTAACTGACATTGACGCGTAACGCGTGCTGTTTTCGAGATGACGGTGAACTAGTTTTCTCTTTTCGAGTGGACGAGTCAGTGAAAACGAAGTCGCTTTCGATCGTTTCGTAATGTAACACGGCCGATTTCCATGCGATGTAGTGTAAGCAGTCAGGAAGAGAACGGAACGACGTGCGTAACATACCATTTTTGAAATTATAGCGCTTAGGCAATTGTTTTACAAAGTAAAATGTTAAGATATGCAACACATTAACGTTTATGTGATAATATTTCTATCAGAAAATTAATACAACTGATAAATTCTAGCAAAGGCGACTCTTATTTTAATTACTATTACATCATGCAAATGGTTTCGGAATAACAAGATTATTTCTTCATATCATAGAAAATAACTAATTTTTGTACTTTATTCTTAATATTTTTAATATATTGTAAATACGCATATTTTCTTAAAATCTCTGAGATTAACTAGATTATTCGAAAGAAGCAATCTGAAGACAGAAGGGAAAATGTCTCGGAATATTTTTATGCAACATATGGGTAGGATATTTTTGTCGTCATGAATCGGACAGATTTCGCACTATGCGCTGGCACAGGAGAGAAATATCGCAGATATACCGCGCTAGTTGTTGCGTGCTGGCAGTGACGGTGGTGCACGATGGCCCTGACCGGTCAGAGATGCAGGCGCGAAGATGCTCGCCGAGGCGGTCGGATTCGTCTTCGTTGTCGCGCGAGCCAAGCCCGCGCGCATGATGATGACATAAGCGCTCCGGCCGAGCCAAGGATGTAAACACGCGCGGCGATTTTTTGGTATTTCGTAAGACGGCTAACAAGCCGGACCTTGAGGTATTATCGCCCCGCGCTAATCTTAGGTACACGGCCCAAGCGCTCGCTGCTTTCGGCTTGCACGGAAAATCGTGGCGGCCGATGGTGTCGCGCTCCGGAAATAGCCGCTAAAAAGAGCGTGGCGGAAGGCCTAACCGACCAGATTTGCGCTAACCGCTTGTTTTCTGTCTTTCCAGATTCGAGCGAAAGTCAGCCAGGACCCGATCGAGACAGAACCAGGCGCTTGCGCGACTTTCGAAAGCGAACAGGTAAGCCCGATTTCCTTCACGCGTAATTGGAGAGAGACTCGCTTGCTGGAAATCTCGCAGATACCAAATTGCCGGTCCCTCCCTCTTAACCCCATCAGTATCAGGTTATTTTCTGCAGAAAAGTATGAACGAGAGTACTGGCTGGGTACTTTATATCTGCGATATCAAGTGTGTTATTTTTCAGTATTACAGTTTTCCAACTATAATGCGAAAAATTATTTCACAATAGAGAAACTATTGATTAGAGAGATTGGATGAAACATATTATTTATTTTTGAATTTTTATTTACATAATGATCAAATTTTTTGTATCAGTAACAGAAAGGCAAAGTATTTTTCACTTTTGTACTTTGAAACTATTTTCGATATTTTTAAAAAATCTGTAAGATTTGTTTCTATGTTACACTTGTTACCTGAATTGTAAAACTGCATAGAGATTTCAATGCGATAGTAAAGTTCCTTTTTCCTCCGAATTATTTTGCAAAAAGTAGCAATTATCGGTGCTTACGAAGCGGTGAAAAGGAAACGGGAAAATTTCGGTTGAAAAGAAGCGAAAAGCACTCGCAATCGGTATCATTCATACGGGTGAATACGAACACGTTCGTTATCGAAATCTCCCGTTGACAGAGTAAGCAATCTCTGCGTGTAAATGCGACCCGACTTTACTACTATCGCTACCACTACTATTACTACTACTACTACTACTCCTACTCTCTCTCTCTTTCTCACTTGGATCAATATTATTCGTAACCTAGTTTATCGAAGGTTCCTACTTTCACCGGTGCAAGCAACTAGCATTTAAAGTCATTCATCTCAAAGTCAATAATGTCATCAAACAATTGCGCGTCTTGACATTCACGATTCTTTCAACGGAAATCGTTGCGCATTAATCAGATCTGGCGTATAATTTACGAAGTCTAATGCACAACACGAATACATGCATACCTAAAATGACCAGATTGCCGAGGACATGTCCCCTTTTTGACGAGCGTCCTCCGAAGTTCTCGCGCATTTGTTCGCATTTTTGTCCTACTTAGTTTTATTTTCGTATTTACGGTGCACGATTGAAAAGTCAAATGTATATTCATAGTTTTGTTTTATTTAAACTCTAAATTGAATGCGAACTATTAACAATCCTCATTTCATCGTTAATGCGCGAGTAAAGGCATAAATAAAAGAAACTGTATAAGCATCGTAAACTTTGAATAACGAGCCTCACAATACACCTGGCGAGCAATTAGTGATAAAATAATTTCGCGGAACAATCTTGACAAGAGAAATTTAAAAAACTGTAAATGTCCTAGTTTTGTCTTCTCTTTAAAAATCGGGAGTGTCCCAGTTTTCTCCCATATTGTCGCGAGAGAAAGATGGCCAATTCCACCTGTGCTCGCGCGTATCGGCGCACCTGACCCAATTGACCGACTCGAGGATATCTCTGGGCAACAAGGCGACCAAGGTCGTCGGCGTCGTTCCCTAGATTCTCACAACGCCTAGCGCGCTCGTCATCGCGAAAGGTCACCCGATCGAGATAGGAAAGAGAGACGGTGCACCGTTCCCATATCGCGGCATCCATGAACGGCGAGCCCGATAGGCAGGGGAGGGACGGAGCGCGTGAGAGAGATGGAAGGGTAGCCAGGAAGTTCCAGCTGAGTAGTGTGTTACATCGTCGAACGACTGCGATAGAATGCTACACTTCCTTCCCCCCCTTCCTGCTTTTCCTCCCTCAGGCAGTTTCCCCACCGTGTGTCCGACGCACGCGTGCATATATGCGCAGTGCTGTAGCAGCGCAAATAGATCGACAGGAGTATCGAGTGCATTTCGAGCGGGAGGAGATTTCCTTTGTCTCTGTCGTGTGCGATTATCACGTCGCATAAATAGCTGGTTCGAGAATTGATCGTCTCGATCGAATATGTCAATGGAATTATAAAACAAAATAATGCAAGCATATTTTTTTTAGACACAAAGATTTGCATATTTATGAAGTACACGATTAAAAGCATGTTCTGATAAAATTCGCGGACTCTTTCGAAGGACTCGGTTTTAACGATAAATTAGAATTCTCTTGCCGGTCATCAGTCGAGCACATCTTTATTAGATCTCGAATAAATCTCTCGGAAACGAAGATTGAAGTCGACGCAAATTAAATTCTATTAAAAGATCGTGCTGAAATATCTTCGTCGCGCATGGACCTAGATCTCTGAGCCACTTGGAAACCGGTGTTTTTCGATTGAATGTTACATGATAATTTCCGCAAAAACAACCTTAGTTTAAAATTATAATTTACATCTAAAAGGATGTTATATTATATCAATCCAACTAGACGATGCATAACAATTGTTCAAGTGTAGTAGTAGTAGTATCGACAGTATTGTCTTCTTTCATCAATATTTCTTCCAAATCTCAGCTAAACGATCAGAAAACGATAAGCGTATCGATTGCCAGCAAATCCATCGTTGATTTCCTAGATATTATGACATCAATGTTGGATCGAAGCGAATAGTTTCTAAATTGCACGGAGATCTACATGCCGTGACAAATTGCTGAAATTACCTTTTCTTATCCGTACCGCGTAACGAATCTAGGCTGAATCCTTAAAAAGTGAGGCTCGCAGCCGACGTGAGCCAAATTCCATTAAAACGCCGCGCACGCGCCGGAATATCCTCGCTCGTTGTACTGTATACCTGCACATGGACCTAGATCTCGGAGCGGCGCGCGCGAGGACCGGCGCCGTTGGTGCATCGCGTCGCAGTGCACACCAACGTGACGTCATCACGAACGGCACGTGCCCCTTCCCCTGCCCGCGCCCCCCGTTGCCCTCGAATGCGGCATTACTCGGCGGCGGAGGGAAGCGGGCCGGGGCAGAACGGGGGGCAACAACGACGGGGGCGGCGGCGCGGAGGTGCGGAGGTAGTTAAGGTCACCGTGGCCCTGACTGCACGCGCGCGAAATAATATCGGTGTGCAACCGTCGCTGGCGTGTGCGGGCGTGCATTTGCCCTGTATATGTGTGTATCTACATGTGTGCGTGTGTGTGTGTGTGTGAGAGAGAGAGAGAGAGAGAGTTGTATGCAACGCGCGCGGAGAACGCACGGAAGATTTATTTCTAGTTCCGCGTGCTGCCGCGTTTTCTAACCCAAGGCTTCGTCGGCTAGATACACGAGTCGCACGAGTGTCCCAATGGCGGACCTTGACCGTCTACTTCGATGTTCGGACGGTCGTCATACCGTCTGGTGATCGGTGCAGATCTGCGATACTGCGACGAAGTTACACGATTTTATATGCTCGTGATTCGGAGCGACAGCTTCTTCCCGACCGTTATGACACGCAATGTACCGTTCCGTGACGGTATTTCGTGCCAGATTATTTCAGTTCGGAATGAGCCCTTGCTGCTTTTACTAGAATTTAAAGAAGGAAACACATTCACTACGCCTGCAGGTTTAAATCGATTGTGAGAAACCATGTGCAAAACCGCTTGGTGGGTCTGCTTTTGAAGGGAAAGTCTAAAAAGAGATGTTTGGAAATTTTGTTGAAACTATTAGCCTAAAAGTTTCCTAAAGGTGTGATTAATAGCAACACGATGACTATTCATTTGTCACCATTTGAACAGTTGTCCAGGGATGAGCGTGTCGAATGTGTCTCTTCCGGCTGAATCTTTCTTTACACATGTTTTCTTCCTTTAGAAATGTTTTCTCTTAATTTTCTTTAGCATTTCTATTCTTTCGTTACTTTTTAAGAAAATATTTCTATAGAGGATTTCCTACATAGCAATCTTTTTTAGAAAGGTTTCTTCCATAGAAATTTTCTCTAAATTAGTTCTTTTATTTATTTTATACATTATCTAGAAAGTTAAAAAAACTTTACCCTTGACGATTATTTGTCAAATATTTGTTTTCGTAGGATTACAAAGCGCGTTACAAAGCGCATTCAAATGGGACTTACCTGGCTTCCTTTGTGCTACAAATTTGGAAAATTTCACATCTTTGATCTTTCCGCATTCTATTGTCACTCGCATCATTTCAATATTTCAATTCTTGCCTAGCCTTACTGTATTTTTTCGCACTGCTTATATCTAAATTTACTTAAGTGTGAATTTTTATGTCACGTAACGCACAGTATCTGTCGATTGATCATGTAAATTGCGTATTCGCGAGGCGAGAAAGAAGAGTATGACGCATACAATTTGAACTTGAAAAGAGCGTCAGCGCGCAGTTTATCGGATGCATCGATTCAATGCCGATCGTGCCGGCATTTGCGTGCGCGCCCCGTGAGTTCTGGGCCGCCGGGTCGTATTCTGACATGTTCGTCCACCTTACGTAATACACGTTGCGTAAACTTGACGTTAGGCGTAACGCTCGCCATACATATTTCCGCGCGCCCGGCAACAACCACAGCTCGTGAAGGATCTGGCCTTACTGAGCGACGTAACCCTTCCGTATTATTTCTATGCTCTTTAAACGTTCGCCGGAACTGATAAACGCAAGGTTTCCGCACGTTTTCCGTGATTTTTGTCGCCTTTTGATAATTAAATATCAATTTTACAAATAATTGTATTTCTTTCAAAATAATTATTTCATTTGGCATAATTTAGAATTACAAGTCAACACATTTAATTAAATCGAACACATTAAATATGAAATCGAACGAAACACGACACAGTTATAAGAATTTATTTTGCACCGTCAACAAAAATAACAATAATGAAATAATCATCGATCGAACACACTTGCGAGCTGTTAAAATTTAAAAATGAGCAGATATATTTTTAAGTAATATGTTCCGATGCTCACTTATTTTTCAAAACAATCCTCGCTCTTTTGCGACATCACGCTTATACACAAACAAAATTTGCTGTTAATTGCAATTTAAAAAATGAATTGTAAAGTTGATTGAGAAATTTCATATACATTTTCAATAAATATCAAGAGTTTCTCAACGGACGCAAAATCGCGCATTAATAAAGATAGTTTGACAATCGACTCGGAAGTGTTAATAACAGCGAAT